TTCTGTCTAAGTGTGATTTATATGAAACATGTTCTAACTTTCTCACATAAATAGTAATGGTACTATTGAGTAACAAAACTGACCACACATCAATTTTGAAAGAGAATAATCAATTGCATATATGTGAACCACAACCTTTAATCTGTATACAAGTGTACACTGTTTTAAGCTAAGGACTTGTTCGAACTGGATGTAGCTTCTTTAATAATTGTTCTCTTTCTAACACAGCTGACACATCTTAATCAGTTAAAGAAATAATGCCTTGAAAAACACAAAAAAAAAAGTTACCAAACATGAGTTCTTTGGAGTAAAGTCACAAAAAGCTTAAGCGCATCTTTCAAAGAAGTTGAATATTATCAATCTTTTAGGAATATATTAATGATTTAAGTGATGCTGAAAATTGTTGCTGACAACATAATAGCTTTAACAGTGTGCTTGGTACCTGTAGAACAACAGATCTGAGCTAGTGGTGCTGTCAACAGGAACACTGGTGCTGGAGCTTTGCCTGGAACAGCAAGTTTCATATTGGTTAGCTGAAAAAGATGGAATTCAAATTTAAATCATACTGGTGCCTAATTATTTGAATACGTTGGACTTGCTATATAGTTTCTGGAACCAGAAAAATGATACTACAATGTGCAATATTTTGGTTACAGCAAAGACATTAAATATCAAATAGACATGTCCTTTCGCAGAATCAACGCTCATTTTATGGAGTCAATCATTTCTCAATAGTCATTAAATATTGACAAAATGCTGAATTGAAACATGATTAAATGAAATTCAAAATTTCAATGAGATATTTTTTCCATTTTTGGGAAAGTCCGGTTTAGACCAACGTTTTTATTTTAAGCCTGATTCATAGTGCTGGGAAGTTTATGTCACATTTTTTAAACTCGGAATACATAAAGAAAAAAAAGGAGCTGCGAAAATGCACCATGTGGAGTAATTGCAAATAAGTTGCACCAAAATATGTATATGATATACATATACTTGATTTAAACATATCTTATTGCAGAAATTTGCAAATGGATTAGGCACAAGCTATTCCAACTTATGAAGCCTTCTCCCAGATATATTTTATACAGTGTACATGGCAACATCAATAGATTTTACACAAATCGATAATGAAAATAACATATACTTGCTAATGATTGACATTTAATTCAATGAATTCATTAGAATTAGCTCCGGGCTGTCATGTAACTTGCTGTGATGTTATCAGATTTAACTGAAATCATGTCACAGAAATCAAGAATATATTTCTGTATAAACTATATCAATGACGACAAAGGATAAACATGTACGTGGAGTCAAGATGAATGAATTCAGGTTTGAAAAATGCTTTTGATTGTTGCCTAGAACTATAAACTTATAAAAGTGTTCTATTGTTTAGGTACATATATTGAATGGCCTATCTCAAAATTTCGAGAATAACATACAAAGGTAAAAGCTCAGCTGATGTTTCTGTATTTTTCTTATAAATGGTTTAAATTTAAAATGATGTAATAGGACAAATTTATTGTTAAAAGTTAACCCTTTAAGTCACTTCTCCCACAGGGGTTTCGTTACAAAATACACATAACGTTATGCCATACTGATGAAGGTCACAGTCCACATAAGCAAATGTGCTGTGACCTATATCAGTATAGCACATGTACATGTGTATTAGACATTTGTAACGAACCCCTGTGCTTCTACCGTGCTGTGTATGCTCTCGAAATATATAGCTGCCTATAGCCAGAAACGTCTTTTATCACCCCCGAAATATTAATTTTTACATTCATTATCAGTTAATTCTTTCATTAAAAAGTCTAATTAAACAATAAACTGCATAGATGTGGCAGTTATACCAGTTGGTCTGCCACATCTATTGAGTTTATTGCTTATATTTATATTTCCATAATGACAATTCGCAAAAAAAAATTATGTCTTTTCCAAATTTCAAATTTCCTGCTTATTACCGTCAGGTCAGGTCAGTATCTAGAACGGCACAAAGATAACAGCTGACGTCATGCGCTATTTCCCATACAAAATTGAAAAGACTCCGCAACTTTTGTTCATAATTCATTTGATTTTGATTTATATATATATCATATTCTCGGTTCATAAATAGTAACAAATGACATTTTGTAAGTAACTATTCAAGTTTCGTAAAACAGTTTCCGATTTTATTGCGACCTATATCCGGCGCACGCACTCAACGGAAGCCCGCAGTAATCAGGTCAGAGTTATATTTGCGGTCCGGCATGTTGTTGATGTTGATCGTGCAACCGGAGAAGGTTGAATTGGTGAAAAATCCAGGCGTAAAATTGTTTGTTGATCTCACAGACACTTGAGACAGGCAGCTGGTGTTAGGGATCAAAGCAGAAGATACCGATAAGTTCGGTAGGACACTGTTAAGTCGCTCGGAGGTGCAAAGACCAACTTCAGTTATAGTCTCATAAGATGAAGCTGCTATTGGCAGTAATTTGGTAGTAATATAGAAGGGCTTTGCCACACCAAATGTAAATATATCTAAATAACTATCACGGGATAAAAAGTCAGTCATATTTGACAATGATGAAGCATCCGATCAGATTCTTACCTGATGCTGCTTGACATAAACAGATAAGCTTGCGACATCATCACGTGTATGCATTCGTTTTCTAAAGTTTTAGCCACGATGATTGCACTGTGTTATTAATCTGTCAAATCAGTATAAGACTATCGGTCTGTCGTCACCTAGGTAAACAACGTGGTTATCGATACCGGAAACCGGTCTGTGAAATAGCACGCAAGCGCAGTACATGTAAATTGGCTCGTTCGAGAGAGTCACAGGCCGTCACGGTTCGGTGCACAAATACAAGAGGTGGACTCCGTGGTAAAACTACTCATGGCCTGTCGATCCGTTATCTGAATACCGAGAGATGGGATATTATTGCGTCACATGACCGTTAAATATGAAATTATCAAAAAACGTGTTCAAAACATAACGGTCAAACGTATACGGTACAGATATTATCTCTCTGTGTCGGGCACACGTCAGGAAAATCTCCGGTCATTCATCAAAATGGTTTTTTTATATTTACCTGTTCTATTACCTGGGAGCCAGCCCCTACGGTCGCTGTAACATTGTACATTGTACCTTATGACGCTCATACGATCGATCCTTACGGATTTTTTCGTTCCGTAATAGCGTTCAACGAATTGTACTAAATCGCAAATTTGTGAAGAGAGCGGGAAGAACGATTGTTGAATAGCACAGTTTTGTGACCATGCACGGACGATGTGTGGACGATAGGCAGACGGTGTGCGCACGATGTGACACACTATTTATGGTGCGTTGTGCAGTCACACCACTGTATCACACCATCATAGGCCTCTTTGTCATTCAGAAGAAGTTGTTTAAAGTAAGCTGACGCTGTGTGGACAGACAGACGACGGACGCCACACCACGGCATAAGCTGACTTGACCCTTTGAGCCAAGTGTACTTATAAAACTATTTGTCAACATACATAATTTTTGGTATTGTTTTGCGTACCAGCGTACGGCTAAACGCCTGACAACTCCATACGGTGCGTACATTGACAAAACGTCACGAGCTACGTGCCTGACAGTGATAATGACTGGACTATGCCCTACGTCCCTTGTAGCTATACTCAAAGTAATTGATGTATCGAAGTGTATTTACACATGTACACATATTATATACATGTATGGTAAGTGTCTATTGATGTGTAAGACCTTCTACGCTTCACTATGAGCTAGCTAAAATACAGAATTTGATAAAAAGTTTTATATATGTATGTTTGTTTTAAAATAGATGAATTCGGTAAATAGGGTGAATTGTATAGGTTGTCCTCCTGGATGACATGCATCAGTGCTTTTCAAGTGGAGTACATATGTGTCTTATCTAATTTGGTTTTAAATCTTAATTTAGAAGTAGTAGATACAGGACAATTTCTACTTCAGTTCATTTTTTTATTTTTTTATTTGATGGAAATGGCTCTATGAGCTGATATTTAAGAAATGGGACGTCAGGCATCAAAATACCACGGGGGTAGAGTTGAAAGATGAAGATACAGTCCCATCCTTTAAGAATCGTCGCCTATTTACACGAGTAAATGTAAACCGGGCGTAGTCCAGGATGTGAAGCGGATATCGGGATTAACTAGGCAAGCTTTTAGGAACGATAGCATCGCACAATACTTAATTACCTATGATACGGAAGTAACACAGATCTGTAACTCATAATAATTTGCAATGAAACATGTGTGATAAAACAACAGCGTATCGGATTAACAAATATTGTAAATGATTTATACATGTACTGTAAATATATTTGATGATTTGTGTTAATTTATGGATACTAATAAAAAAATGACTCAATGCATTGAAATATTAGAATAAGAAAAAACTCTCAAATGTGTTATTTCGTTTGCTGTAACTGATGTTTCAGCATAACAACCACAACGCTTTGTATATTTCCAATAATAAAACATTTCAGAATGTTACCCGGAACGAATGTTAACTTTAAAAAATAGCATTCATGTTTAACGCCACAAGTTGAATTCTGAACGAAACAAAATCAGGAAGACATTGCAATTTATCTCCTATACAATGTGTGTTCCAGTCACACACGTGTCGAGTCTAGTGGGCCTCCTTTCTCATGAGGTACTTATAATTATAAGGGGGTTCTAGACCGACAGTCAAAGGTCATGTATTGAAAATCATAGACGCCTCATTTTCGGCCTGTGTTCCGGAAGAGAGTGCTTATTTGAAAGTGTTGGGGTCCGGGAAAGGTTTACTGTTTGAAATAAGACAATCTAAATCTCAATCTAAATCTACTCATTGGACCCCTCGACGTTTGTTGATTAAGTTATGGATTGTTTAATAATATTTCGTGGGATAATACTCGGATGCTTTATATGTAAATGGCTTCTCATAAAAATAAAGTTTACATTTATTTCTTTTTTGTTGTTGTAAAATTCCCTTTGTGGACCTCTAAGTTGACCGAGTCATGGCGTATGTGAGATCATCCTTGGTGATGTATAGGTGATATCTGTGTCAGTGAATATTATTCATGACAGAAAAACTGCTCGAACTGTCAACAAAATAATTAACACGTCGAGTTGTCAGTGAATTAATTCCGTTTAAGGGATGTGAAAGACAGGTTGGAACATAAGCATTGACTTACAATGGCGGCCGCCAGAGGACTGCTTTCCGCTTTAGTAAGGAACGAAACCGATATGTGGGGACCTACAACCATGGTAACGTCAGCTCTCCTCGGCAAGTCTTCAAATGTGTCCAGCTCGGGCAATTTGTCAAACGTGGAGTTTGCCTTGTTCGTTGATAACGATATACCTGTTGTAGTATATCTGGCCGTTCTCAGCGTTATAGGGACGATCGGTAACTCCCATGCAGTAGCTGTGTATTCGTTGCGGTATAAACCGTCGAATCATCGAACGTTCGTTCTATGGCTAGCGTCAGTGGATCTCACAGCATCACTGCTCAGTATGCCGTTTGAAAGTTTTGACATACGTTACAACTTGACATTTTCAGTTATTTCTGTGTGTAAGTCATTCAAGGCTCTGAATTACTTCGTTAGCACGTGTTCCGGGTTCCTACTTGGGATTATCGCCGTGGAACGTTACCGGAAGGTATGTGTTCCGCTTGGAATGCAACTGACGCCAATAGCTGCGAAATGCGTGTGCATGATTGCCGCCGTAGTTGCTATTGGGCTTTCATCAATTTCTGGTGTTGTGTACGGCATTGTACCAAGGACAATTCCGTCATATGAAAACCTTACTGGCACCGAGTGTACCGTGATGGATGACTACAGAGAAACGTCTTTGTTCAAAGGATATTCCGTCTTCTTGCTGTTCATTAGTACTGTTGTTTTCGTTCTATGTATTTTCACCTATTCATTTGTAGGGAGAATATTATATAAACAAATATTGTTCAGAAGTAAATCACATTCAACCCAATCCGGTTCGTCTTCAAACCGGAAGTCGAGTACCGGAAATGAAAAGAGTGTTCATCAGGACCTCGGGAGTAGTGGACATCAGGAAGAAGAATCAAGTTTTGCGCATGTCAACACTAAAGAAATGATTGCGGTGACGTCCCCTACAGAAAACAGTAAACATAGGAACAAACGAAAGAGAGGCTTGGACAGGAGCAAACAAATTGCTTTCATGTTTCTCATCGCTACAGCAGCCTCGTACGTTGGATATTTGCCTAATATGGTATTGTTGATAATCAAAGGAATACAAAGTGAAACGTACGACGCTATTGATGAAAGTCTGGGTGCTTTCAATGCAATTCTCGTGAGATCTTATTTTCTGAGTAGTGTCGTTAACCCTATAGTATATTGTTTTGTAGACGAACGTTTTCGACGAGAATGCAAACTGTTGTATCTGAAACTGTATTATTACATTTGTAAAAATGTCAGATGTGTGCGGTAGGTTGATAACTGGTGCCATTACCTACCCACTTAGCTACTGTTTATAAAATAAAGTAAGATAATAAACGTATTAGTGTCATATTGAAAAGTACATTGACATTATTTTTTACATTAGCAGTAAATGAATACGAACATGACACATTACTGATGTACGTGCCTTTGGCCACCAAATAGTGATGTGTTTGCAGGGGCGTGTGTAAATCGTCTCTAAAGAGAAAGTGCGGTGGGATGCTAAAGGCCTCTATTGTAGATTCACAGTTGGTACGGAGTAAAACGGGTGGTGCGGAGTAATACGGGTGGTGCGGAGGAAGCGATCGCATGAACATTATTGTTTGAAAATGTCAGTATTTACAAATTTCAAGCCTGAATTTTTACCGATAAGAAATGAGGCGATTAAACAAAAAATCAAATATCACTATACAAAAATGCTGGAAATTATACAAAAACGCTACGTCGGTACTGAGTGAATGGTATGTCTGTACGGGGAACATTATCCGTCTGTAACGGGGTACATGATCCGTATGTACGGAGTAAATGATCAGGTCTGTACGGAGTACATAATCAGATCTATACGGAGTACATAATCAGGTTTGTACGGGTAACATTATCCGTTTGTACGGAGTGCTTGATCAGGTCTGTACAGAGTACATACTCAGGTTTGTACGGGGAACATGATCCGTCTGTACGGAGTACATGATCCGTCTGTACGGAGTACATAATCAGGTTTGTACAGGGTACGTGATCCGTTTGTACGGAGTACATGATACGTTTGTACGGAGTACATGATCCGTCTGTACGGAGTACATGATCAAGACTGTACGGAGTACATGATAGGTTTGTACGGAGTACATGATAGGTTTGTACGGAGTACATTATAGGTCTGTACGGGGAACATTATCCGTCTGTAACGGGGTACATGATCCGTCTGTACAGAGTAAATGATCAGGTCGGTACGGGTTACATGATCCGTTTGTACGGAGTACATAATCAAGTCTGTACGGAGTACATGATCAGGTCTGTACGGAGTACATAATCAGATCTGTACGGAGTACATAATCAGGTTTGTACGGGTAACATGATCCGTCTGTACGGAGTGCATAATCAGGTCTGTACAGAAAAAAACATACTCAGGTTTGTACGGGGTACATGATCCGTCTGTACGGGTTACATTATCCGTCTGTACGGAGTACATGATCCGTCTGTACGGGGTACATGATCCGTCTGTACTGAGTACATGATCAGGTCTGTACGGAGGACATAATCAGGTCTGTACATGGTACATATTCCGTCTGTCCGGGGTACATGTTCCGTGTGTACGGAGTACATGGTACGTTTGTACGGAGTAGATGATCCGTCTGTACGAAGTACATGATCAAGACTCTACGGAGTACATGATACGTTTGTAAAGAGTACATTATCAGGTCTGTACGGGGTACATGATCCGTCTGTACGGAGTACATGATCAAGTCTGTACCGAGTACATGATCCGTCTGTACGGGTTACATGATCCGTCTGTACGGAGTACATTATCAGGTCTGTACGGAGTACATGATCAGGTATGTACGGAGTACATAGTCAGGTTTGTACAGGGTACATGATCCGTCTGTACGGAGTACATGATCAAGTATGTACGGGGTACATGATACGTTTGTACGGAGTACATTATCAGGTCTGTACGGGGTACATGATCCGTCTGTACGGAGTTCATGATCAAGTCTGTACCGAGTACATGATCCGTCTGTACGGAGTTCATTATCAGGTTTGTACGGGGTACATGATCCGTCTGTACGGAGTACATGATCAAGTATGTACGGAGTACATGATACGTTTGTACGGAGTATTTGATCCGTTTGTACGGAGTACATAATCAGTTTGTACGGAGTACATGATCAGGTCGCTACGGAGTGCATGATCAAGTCTGTACGGGGTACATGATACGTTTTTACAGAGTACATGATCTGTCCGTATAGAGTACATGATCAGGTCGGTACGGAGTACATGACCGTGTGTACGAAGTGCATTATGAGTATGTACGGGTACATGATCAGTTCATACAGACTACATGAAACGTTTGTACATAGAACATGATCCGTCTGTTAGAAGAACATGATCTGGTATGTACGGATTACATGATCAGTCCGTACAGAGTACATGATGTGGTCGGTACGGAGTACATGACCGTCTGTACGGGGTACATGATCCATCAGGAACGGAGTATATGATCCGTCTGTACGTAGTACATTAACAGTCTGTACGGAATACATTATCAGTCCGTACAGAGTACATGATCAGGTCGGTACGGTGAACATTATAGGCCTGTACGGAGTACATGATCCGTCTGTACGGACTACATTATAAGTCTGTACGGGATACATGATCCGTCTGTACGTAGTACGTTAAAAGTCTGTACGGGATACATGGTCCGATCTGTACGGAGTACAAGATCAGTCTGAACGGATTACATGATCAGGTCTGTACGGGGTACATGTTCCGTCTGTACGGAGTACATTATCAGTTTGTACGGAGTTCATGATCAGGTCGGAACGGAGTACATGATTAAGTCTGTACCGGGTACATGATCCGTCTGTACGGAGTACATGATCCGTGTGTACGGAGTACATGATCAATTAGGTACGGTGTACATGATACGTTTGTATGGAGTGCATCATCCGTCTGTACGGAGTACATGATCAGTCCGTACAGAGTACAGGATCAGTCCGTACAGAGTACATGATCAGTTCGTACAGAGTACATTATCAGGTCGGTACGGGGTACATGATCGTCTGTACGGAGTACATTATGAGTCTGTACGGGGTACATGATCAGTTCATACAGAGTACATGATACGTTTGTATGGAGTACATGATCCGTCTGTACGGAGTACATGATCAGTCTGTACCGAGTTCATTATCAGGTCTGTACGGAGTACATGATCAGTCCGTACGAAGTACATGATCCGTCTGTACGGAGTACATGATCCGTCTGTACGGAGTACATGATCAAGTATGTACGGGGTACATGATCAAGTATGTACGGAGTACATGATCCGTCTGTACGTAATACAAAATCTTATCTGTACGGAGTCCATGATCCGTCTGTACGGATTCCATGATCAGATCTGTACGGAGTACATGATCCGTCTGTACGGAATACATGATCAGGTCGGTACGTAGTACTTCATCCGTCTGTACGGAGTACATTATGAGTCTGTACGGGGTAAATGATCAGTCTGTACGGAATACATGATATGTCCGTACGGGGTACATGATATATCGGTACGGAGTACATGGTATGTCGGTACAGAGTACATGATATGTCGGTACAGAGTACATGATGTTTGTACGGAGTACATTATCAGGTCTGTACGGAGTACATGATCAAGTATGTACGGGGTACATGATCCGTCTGTGCGGAGTTCATTATCAGGTTTGTACGGGGTACATGAACTCTCTGTACGGGGTACATATGTCCGTACAGAGTACATTATACGGCCGTACAGAGTACATGATACTACATTATCCGTCTGTACGGAGTACATGATATATCGGTACGGAGTACATGATAAGGTCTGTACGGAGTACATGATAAGGTCTGTACGGAGTACATCCTCCGTCTCTACGGAATACATGATCAGGTCGGTACGTAGTACTTCATCCGCCTGTACGGAGCACATTATCAGGTCTGTACGGAGTACATGATATGTCGTTACAGAGTACATGATATGTTGGTACAGAGTACATGATACATGATACGTTTGTATGGAGTACATGATATGTCGTTACAGAGTACATGATATGTCGGTACAGAGTACATGATACGTCCGTACAGAGTACATGACACGTCCGTACGGGGTACATGATATGTCGGTACAGAGTACATGATATGTCGGTACAGAGTACATGATATGTCGGTATGGGGTACATGATATGTCGGTACAGAGTACATGATACGTCCGTACAGAGTACATGATACGTCCGTACAGAGTACATGATATGTCCGTACGGGGTACATGATACGACCGTACAGAGTACATGATATGTCGGTACGGAGTACATGATATGTCGGTACAGAGTACATGATATGTCGGTATGGAGTACATGATATGTCGGTACAGAGGACAAGATATGTCCGTACGGGGTACATGATACGACCGTACAGAATACATGATATGTCGGTACGGAGTACATGATATGTCAGTACAGAGTACATGATATGTCGGTACAGAGTACATGATATGTCGGTACAGAGTACATGATATGTCAGTACAGAGTACATGATACGTCCGTACAGAGTACATGATCCGTCGGTATGGAGTACATGATCAGGTTTATACGGGGTACATGATCTGTCTGTACGGGGTACATATGTCCGTACAGAGTACATTATCCGCCAGCATGGGATACATGATATGTCTGTCGGTAACGAGTGCAAGTAAAAACTGTTGAAAAACCTTTGATCTTGTTGAATCATTTGCAGTAATTTATTACATTTACATTACACAAGATTACAGATACAAATGACGGCCACACAGCTCCGTCTTTCCGGACACACAGTCCAGACCCAGACACACAGTCTGGCGATTGACACACAGTTTTACAGGCAAATCCTGGAGCGCTGTCTCATCAGGCGTGCTGTCTCGTAGATGTCCGAAGTCTCATCTCCCTTCACAATTAGGAGAGTTCCAAGACAAGGGAAACAACTCCCGTGGTCATTTACCACATTCCTCCCCGTTATATAAAAGACGTTTACACTCAAATTATGAAAGTCACTGATTCTGAACAAGATAAAAAGCAAACAAGTTACTAATTCTCAAACAAAAGAACCTGGTCCATTTATACAAAGCATAATCCTTCAAATGGGAAGGCAAATGAATATTGAGGCCACTACGCGTAGTTGGCTTTTGGCTATCCTCCTTAATGTTCATATCCGGGACCCTGTCCTTGGAAAGACTCACATCGTCCTCTTCTTCTTCCCTCCCAATTCATGGTTATCGTCAGCATCCGTTTCCATCTCGTCATCTGAGGCGTTAACACAGACATCCTCTTCACTGCTTTCCACGAATGTATCCAAAAAAGCAG